TGTACTCTTTTTTGTTTTGTCTTGTTTTTGTTTTTTTTTTTTTTGAGTTGGAGTCTCACTCTGTCGCCCAGACTGGAGTACAGTAGCCGTTCCTGGCCACCGCAGCCTCTAACTGCTGGGCTCTGGTGATCCTTCTACCTCAGCCTTCCAAGTAGCTGGAACTATAGGCACACGCTACCACGCCCGGTTAATTTTTTGATTTATTGTAGAGATGAGGTCTCACCAAGTTGCCCAGGCGGGTCTTGAACCCGCAGGCTCAGGCAATCCATTCACCTTAGCCTCCCAAGGTGTGGGATTACAGGCTGAGCCATGGAGCCCGGCTCAAGCACATGTTCTTAATGACAACACTATCTCGCCTCTCTAAAGCAACCTAATTGTTTAATGTGTTTGTCAGTGTAGAATGCATTTAAAGTTGTGATACTTGCGTAAAATGGAATATTATGCAACCAGAATCAATTGGTTTTGTAAAAGGTGTTCATCTTATATGTGATCTAATCCCATTTTTCTTCAAAGATTTTTTTTAAGTAAAAAAAAAAAAAAAAATCAAAATGTATAATTTTATCTCTAGGTATTAGGTATTGGTATTTTGATTATTTTGAGTTATAGTGGTTAAAAGTATAGGCTTTAGGCAACCCCTTTGGTTCTCTCCTGCTCTGGAGCTTTTCTGTACTCTCAATAAATCCTGCTTTCTCACCAAAAAAAAAAAAAGAAAAGAAAAGAAAAAGAAGGAAAAAAAGTACAGGCTTTGGAATGAGGACCTGGGTTCCATTTCCAGCACTGTTCCATTTGGCAGTGTTCTTTATGTTGGCTACTTAAGCTCTTGAGTCCTCAGCTTCCTCATTTATGAAATGCCAATGACTAATCCTCTCAGGGTGTGTGTGTGTGAGTGTGTGTGTGTGTGAGAGAGAAAGAGAGAGAGAGAGAATATTAAATAACATTATGTCTGTGACAGTACCCTTCCTGGTAAGTGTCCAATAAATAATTATTCTTATCATTTATTATAATTTTTCTATATTGTCTGAATGTTTTATAATACATTGTTTTTATATGCAGAAAAGTAAAGCCATGTCTATTTTGGAAAATAAAGTAAAAGAAAATAAAAATACTATCAGGAAAGAGCTCAGAATGCTTTGGAATTATTCTGTTATCTGTTGACCTCAAGAAAATACTCAGCTGAGCACAGTGGCTCACATCTGTAAGCCCCGCATTTTAAGAGGCCAGGGCGAGAGGACTACTTGAGTCCAAGAGTTTGAGACCAGCCTAGGAAACATAGTGAAATCTCTACTGTATGAAAACCAAAAAATAACTGGGCATGGTGGCACATGCCTGTAGTCCCAGCTACTCAGGAAGCTGAGTCAGGAGGCTTACCAGAGCCCAAGAGGTTGTGGCTACAGTGAGCCTTGATTATGCAACTATACTCCAGCCTGGGCAACAGAGTGAGACCCTGTCTCTAAAAAAAAAAGAAAAAAGAAAGAAAACACTCACTACTGTGTTTGTTTGTACTAGTTCCCAAAATGATAATGTAGAAGGTAAACATGGACCTTCTAGATAAGCAGTGCTAACACCCTACAGGCATTTGGTATATGAGTGATAAAAGACTCATACCTACTAAGCAAAGAGGCACATAGAGAGAGTCTCTTAATGACAGTCAGGAACTACCAGAAAAAAATGACCACCTTGGTTATGCTTCTCAGGTCATCTCTCCTGTGCTTGATGTCTTAATAAGGACTTCAGGGGCACTGAAAGCCGTACCACAGCTGGAAGTAGATTGGGTTTTCTCCTGCTTTATGTATCTGCCTCCACATAGATATGTTTCTATATTCTGTGTCGTATTTCTTGCATCAGCCACTTGTCTGTTATAACCACCATAACACTGAATATGACAAATTTGGGGGGACAAATATCTTTATAGGAAAAATATTTTTCAAAATCATCTATTTGTTACAGATTTTACATCCTGAAGTCCAAATTCTAGACCTACGCAGCTGTGATATTTCAGACACTGCTCTCCTGCACCTGTGTAATTGCAGAAAACTAAAAAAATTGAATTTAAATTCCTCAAAAGGAAACAGACTTTCCATAACTTCAGAAGGTATGTTTATCAATTCTGAATGCGTTGGTAGAATACTATTCACCATCTGGTATAATTATGGAGCAAAGGGGAAAATATGTCAAAAGAGAATATAAAGATGTTAAAGAAACAGGAGTTATATTTATCAGTGAAAGTATTCAGACTAAGAAAATAATCCAAGTTAGAATTCTTGCTTATAGCGTACCACTGTACATCAGCCTGGGCGACAGACTGAGACTCCGACTAAAAGAATCCTTGCTTATATTAGTGCTGAAGGTTAAGAAATACATGGGGTAAGTCACTATCTTGTATTTTAAACATATTTTAAATAAACATATATGATGTTAGCTGTGGGCTTATAAAAAATAAACATGGATACTTACATCTGTATTTTAAATTTTACTTGGTTTAGTGGAACAAGAAATGACCAGTTCATCATATTTTGTTAAGGCTTTTTAGAAGCCAAATTACAACAGAATTATCAGATTAAATTTAGCAGACACTCTTCTATCAATCTGTGAAATGCATAATTTTTTATAGCCAAACAAGTTGAATTTTTCGGTGTCACTATTATGTGAATTTGTGGGTTTTTATCTTTTTATTTCTCTGTAGATAATTTTTTTTTTTTTTGAGTTGGATTCCCACTCTGTCACCCAGACTGGAGTGCAGTGGCCGCTCCCAGCAACCGCAGCCTCGACCTGCTGGGCTCCAGCTATCCTTCTGCCTCAGGCTTCCTAGTAGCTGGAACTACAGGCACGTGCTACCGTGCCCGGCTAATTTTTGATTTATTGTAGAGATGAGGTCTCGCCAAGTTGCTCTGGCAGGTCTCGAACCCGCGGGCTCAGGCACTCTACTCACCTCAGCCTCCCAAAGGCACAGGATTACAGGCTGAGCCACTGAGCCCGGCTGTACTTTTTCTTTTCAATATGTGAAAGAGGAACTTAGCTGGGCTCGGTGGCTCAGCCTATAATCCTGAGCTTTGGGAGGCTGAGGTGAGTGGATTGCCTGAGCTCGCGTATTCGAGACCCGCCTGGGCAACTTGATGAGACCTCATCTCTACAATAAATCAAAAAATCAGCTGGACATGGTAGCGCATGCCTGTAATTCCAGCTGCTCGGAAGGCTGAGGCGGAAGAATAGCCAGAGCCCCGCAGGTCGAGGCTGCGGTGGCCAGGAGCGGCCACTGCACTCCAGTCTGGGCGACAGAGTGAGACTCCAACTCAAAAAAAAATAAAAATAAATAAAAATAAAAAAGAACTTCTTAAAAAAGAACAAAAAACATTTCTTTATACTCGCACAACACCTCTGACAACAAATTTGTAGGATTTTTCCAAGCTAAGCAATTCCCCAACTCTCTGGACACCAACTGGGTGTCCTATAATTTAATTCAATTCTGGCATTATCTACCTAGGGTTAGTATTAGATTCCACAAGTTAAGGGCTCAGTCCCACAAGACTGCCACCACTTCAAATACCAGTTGCAAGCTTGGGCCTCTGGTGGTTGTAAATAACAACCTATAAATCGGAGGTCCCATGACCTCGTCCTAGGGTTCAATAATTTGGCAGACTGGCTCACAGAACTCAGGGCAACTGTTACTTAGTTTGCCAGTTTATTATAACAATAAAGATTATAAAGATACAGATGAACAGCCAGATGAAGAGTACATAGGGTGAGATCTGGAAGGGTCTCAAGGCACAGGAGCTTCTGTCCCCTTGGAGTTGGGGTGCACCACCCTCCTAGCATTTGGATGCATTTACTAACCTGGAAGCTCAGCGCATCAAACCTCCTTGTTCAAGACCATCTCCTTCCTAGAGAAAGTGAATGAGGCTGAAAGTTCCAAACCCTCTAATCACTTGGTGTTTCTGGAAATTGCCCCCAACCTGAGGCTATCTGGGAGGCCCTACACTATCACCTGGTTAGTATAAACTTCAGTATGATCAAAAGGGGCTCATCATGAATAACAAAAGACACCTCTATCACTTAGGAAATTCCAATGGTTTTAGGAGCTCTGTGCCAGGAACGGGACAAAGATCAGATACATTTATTATTATATCACAACTTCCATGCTGGATACTGATGAATAAAATAACCATTTAAGCATCATAGATGCCGGGCTCGGTGGCTCAGCCTATAATCCCAGCGCTTTGGGAGGCTGAGGTGAGTGGATTGCCTGAGTCCGTGGGTTCGAGACCCGCCCAGGCAACTTGGCGAGACCTCATCTCTACAATAAATCAAGAACTAGCCGAGCGTGGTAGCACACACCTGTAGTTCCAGATACTTGGAAGGCTGAAGCGGAAGGATCGCCAGAGCCCAGCAGGTCGAGGCTGCGGTGGCCAGGAACGGCCACAGCCACTGCACTCCAGTCTGGGCATCAGAGTGAGACTCCAACTCAAAAAAAAAGAATTATAGATAACCATTCTGTCATAAAAATGATTTATGCATAAATTTACCAGACTAGAGTGCAGTGGCACTCTCAAGGTCACCGCAACCTCAACCTGCTGGGCTCAGGCAATCCTTCCACCTCAGCCTTCCAAGTAGCTGGAACTACAGGCATGCAGTACCACACCTGGTTAATTTTTTGTTGTTGTTTATATTTGTTGTAGAGATGAGGTCTCACCAAGTTAGCCGGGCTAGTCTCGAACCCGCCGGCTCAGGCAATCCAGTCGCCTCAGCCTCCCAAAGTGCTGAGATTACAGGCTGAACCACCGAGCCCAACTAGTTTTATACATTTTTAGGAAGACAGAAGTTATAAACCAAAAAAAAAAAAAAAGATTTTGAAATTGGCCAGGTGCTGTGGTCCCACCACCTTGGGAGGCTGAGGCAGAAGGATAGCTTGAGCCCAGGAGTTTGAGACCAGTCTAGGCATTATAGCAAGACCTTGTCTCTACAAAAAAACTTTAAAAATCAGCTGGGCGTGGTGGCATACACCTCTAATTCCAGGTACTCAAGAGTCTGAGGCAAAAGGATCTATCACCTGAGTCCGGGAGGTCAAGGCTGATGAGCATGATCATGCAGCTGCACTCCTGTTTTGGCTAGCATTTGGCATCTTACTGCCACAGAGTCTGTTTTGTAAGTCTTATGATCTCTTTTGAGTTGTGCCTCAAATTCCACAAGGGGGGGAGGGTATAATTAGGTATATCTAACTTCCTTTCTTGACATGGTCCGGAATTTAGTTTTTCAGCTTTTCGTTTTCAGGGGGGTCCATTCAATAAATGGGGCAGGGCGGTAAATTTTATTTTTGGTTTAAATTCTCAGGAAAATGAAATGATGAAGAGACTCTCTTAAAGGCACCCTGTTAAAGTAGCCCTTTACTAATAATAATGTTGGATTGCTTAGGGTTACTGCCCTGTACTCACCCACATTCCTTAAAATCATAAGACCGTGCTGACCCTCCCTGGAACAGAATGAGTCACAGACCCCATGGTTGTCATCACATAGTAAAATAAATTGTTATTCATCTCTGTGATCCATAGTTAAAGTTAGAAATGTAATTATATTAATCATGTAACTGGAACCAGTACACTTTTTGCTTTGTTGTACCCATTGGCTAATGATGTATCATAATGAATAATGTTTTCACTTTTGTAAAGTTCCACTAACACCTTTACTTAGAATTACTGATAAACTAGAATTACAGGTTCCTGGTAATGGGCACCAAGAATAAACAGACAATGAATGTTATAATTGACAAAATGCAATTGAAACTGGAATCTTACAGAATGCTTGTAAATCACATAGTTTGACATTAGTCAATGACAAACCTCAATGCTTATGCTTACAAATACAGACTATAAAATCCGAGAAGCTGAACTGGCCTTGATATTTATACTGGCTTGTCTCCCTGAATTCCGAATCCAGGAATAAACTTCTTTCCTCCCAGTTCCCTGCCTCTTGGGTTCCATTGGGGAGTAAGTGAGCAGCCATGTGTTCCATGGACCATATCAGTAGGACTGGTTCAGGTTAACAGAGAAGGAACATGGTTGTAGACTTAAAACCGACATCTGAGACAGAGGCAAAGTAGGGCAAAAGAGAATGCATAGGGGTAGCTATAAATTCCTAAAGGTAAGCATGGAGAGCATCCTTAAAACATGTGGGCAACTTAACTTTAAAATTAATATTATTAGTTTAAAATTTTTGTTTAACCAAAACGAGAATTGAAGGAAGTCTAAATATTTTACCCCAAAATATACTTCTTTGACATTTTGAAGTAGCTGCCCCAGAGCCAGCTGTAAGAAACAGAATGATTTATTTTCAAAATGAACCCTGAGCCATGTTTAAATGCCTTTGCTGAGTCACTTCCTGCTTCTTTGTTCTCTTTTTTGAGGGCTTTCACTTTGACGAGTTTTTATGTTCCAATTTCAGGGGGAACCAATCAAAATGAAATCCTGTAAACCTGTGGGGCTCGGTGGCTCAGCCTGTAATCCCAGCACTTTGGGAGGCTGAGACGACTGAATTGCCTGAGCCCACGGGTTGGAGACCCGCCCGGGCAACTTGGTGAGAACTCGTCTCTAGAATAAATAAAAAACTAGCTGGGTGTGGTAGCGCGCCTGTAGTTCTGGCTACTTGGAAGGCTGAGGAGGAAGGATCGCAGAGCCCAGCAGGTTGGGGCTGCAGTGGCCGGGAGCATGCCACTGCACTCCATCCAGCCTGGGTGACAGAATGAGACTCCAACTCAAACAAAAAACAAACCAAAAAAAAAAAACAACTGTAAACCAATCAGCAAATTGGACATGTAAATGAAGGAATGTTGTAGCAACTCTAAAACAATCAGCAAATAGAACATGTAAATGAAAGGATTTTATGACAGCCCTATAAACTAATCAACAAATAGGACATGCAAATAAACTAATTATGTAACCCAATCGATGTGTGCAATGTAGGCGGTGTCCAGGAATGTGTTGTAACTTCTGGAATACCCAACCTATAGGAAAACGGGAGGGCCTTACGTTCTAGATTACAAATATGCTCACTGTAACGGCTTGAGTGTGCCTGCCTACCAGCTACCCAGTCTTGTAAGACCATCATTAAAGTCTTGCTTCTGCTGTACTCCACATCTCTGTGTCCATCCTTTGCTTCTGGACAGGTGAGTTCATTTCTCACACAGCTGACAGAGGACATTCTGCAAAGCTATTTGTGGGGAAAATTTGCCTCTGTAGAGAACCTCTATTAATGCAGCCAGGATTTGGCTTTCTAGGGTCTAGGAAGGCCTAGGGAGGATAAACTTAGAGTCTGACATCTTTAAAGATCTGAAAAGAGACATTTACCACCTTTGAGACATCCTCTACATAATGAGACCTACTTTGCTAGCCAAGCCTCTTCCTTTTTCCCCGTTCATAACCTGTCTTGCCATCAAAGCTTGATTTACCAACATAACCTGATTTTGTCCATGTTTGGAACCTGTATCCTTTCTGTAACCACAAAATGGTGGATAAGCTTCTGTACTCATGGAAGATTGGGTCTTCATTCTGAAGGCTCCTGTTCATACATGTTAAATAAATTAGCATGCTTTTTCTCCTCTTAATCAGTTGCTTCATGTCAGCAATATATATACATATATTTTTGGAGTAGGAGTCTCACTCTGTCACCCAGGCTGCGGTGCAATGGTACACTTCTCACGGCCACCACAGCCTCAACCTGCTGGGCTCAGACAGTCCTTCCACCTCAGCCTTCCAAGTAGCTGGAACTACAGACATGCACTACCACTCCCAGCTACTTTTGAAAATTTATTACAGAGATGAGGTATCGCCAAGTTTCCCAGGCTGGTCTTGAACCTGTGGATTCGGGAAATCCTCTCACCTCGACCTCCCAAAGTGCTGGACAGGAATTATAGGCATGAGCCACCATCCCTGGCCTTTGTCAGCAATTTTTAGCAAACGTTTGTCCCTCACAGAATCATCTGTATTTAACTGTTTAATTTGATTCTGAATGACTTTTGGCTATTGCCTAAAAACAAGCTGTGAACAATAAAGGCCTGCCATTAATTGCAGATATTCTAAAGAATATGGGAATCCCTAAAGCATTCCAAAAGAGTTTTGAATAGGATAGCATCACTGGAAAATAAGTATATCCTCATAGATGATCCCCTTTGGAAAAGGCTAACATGAAATTGGTGATCGCTAAATGAAAGTCAGTCACATTTCTGAAATACACGTTGAAAGGGTCCACTGAAGGGTGGTGGGCCAGTGCTGGTGCTGAGGCCACGGGAATAATGCAAGATTGTAACAAGGAAGGAATTAGAAAGAGGTAACGTTTATTATTCACCTCTCACAGATTGGAAAGGGGGCTGACACTCAGGCAAGTGTGGTCTTGAAGGGCCAAGAAATGGGTATATTTAAGGGTCTTTGGGATACGGGGGATTTTGGCCTGGAGGAGCAACCAGGGTTGCAGGTCTTTGATGTAGATTGTAGTCACATGAGTCTTAGATGTCAGATGTTAGCATCTTATGCCCTCAGGTGGTGGGCTAGATGGAAGAAGACAAGGGTTGCCTGCTAGAGACTTTGAGGGACATTTGCAATCCACAAACTCCTTGACCCAAAGGTGGTCTATTATTACCATTTTTTTTTTTTTTTTGAGTTTGAGTCTCACTCTGTCGCCCAGACTGGAGTGCAGTGGCCACTCCCAGCCTGCTGGGCTCTGGCGATCTGCCTCACCCTTCCAAGTAACTGGAATCGCAGGCGTGCGCTACCACACCCAGCTAATTTTTTTGATTTATTGTAGAGATGAGGTCTCACCAAGTTGCCCAGGCAGGACGAACCCACGGGCTCAGGCAGTCCACTCACCTCAGCCTCCCAAAGGCGTGGGATTACAGGCTGAACCAGGAGCCCAGCTTATTACCATTTCTATGGCTCTGTCCTTGTCTTGCATCTGATGGAGATTTGTTCAGGGGGTGGGTTAGTCTGCTGCTTGGCCTGCAATAGAATGTCTGAACGCTTCCTAAAACCTGACTATTGAAAATTTATCTATCTGTGTCTTACCTGTACTAGATTTAAAGTGTGTCGGGGTAAAGTCTAAGCAAAAATGGTTATACTGAGGCAAAGAGAGTATGCTAAACTAAGTTTATTCTAGGTTTCTATAGTTCCCTCCATTCACACATAGATAACTAATTGATACATAATAATTTCATTTTCTCCTAGGAATAAAAGCTGTGGCCTCATCTTGTTCCTATCTGCATGAAGCATCTTTGAAAAGATGCTGCAGTCTCACTGATGAAGGAGTCCTTGCTCTTGCACTTAATTGCCGCCTCCTAAAGATCATTGATTTAGGTGGCTGCTTAAATATTACTGACGTGTCCTTACACGCATTAGGAAAAAATTGCCCATTACTGCAGTGTGTTGACTTTTCGGCTACGCAGGTAAATGAAACATAGGCTTGAAACATATAGACTATGTGTTTTTCCAATGTATTTTCATGACTAATGAGAACATATTTTTTTTTTTTTTTTTTTTTGGTGAGTAGGAGTCTCACTCTGTTGCCCATGCTTGAGTGCAGTGGCACACTTATGACCACAGCAGCCTCGACCTGCTGGGCTCAGGCGATCCTTCCACCTCGGCCTTCCAAGTAACTGGAACCACACTACCATGCCCAGCTAATTTTTTGATTTATTGTAGAGATGAAGTCTCACCAAGTTGCCCAGGCTGGTCATGTCCCAACCCCTGGACTCTGGCATTCCTCTAGCCTGTGCCTCCTAAAGTACTGGGATTACAGGCATGAGCCACCACGCCTGGCTAGAACATAATTCTTTTTATTAACGTTGAAATTGTTGACCACTTCAGGCTTTTAGTGGTTAAATAATTGCAGTGTAATTGAGCATATTCCCCTGAATTTAAGTAACAAGAGTGGAAAGCATGTATGGCTAAAGCACATGTTTGCTGAACAGGATGGCAATAAGACTATATTTATATTTTGGAAAATTCTACTTCCATCATCTCCATTTATGAACTGTGTTTCTTTTTCCTTTTGCTTAGGTATCGGACAGTGGTGTGGTTGCGCTTGTTAGTGGACCTTGTGCCAAGAAATTAGAGGTAATTCTTATATAACTATTAAAATTATGGTGACTAAATTTTTATATTATACTCAGAAATTATTTTTTTAAACTTAGTAGATAACCAGTGCTTTATCAATTAAGAATTTTATGGACTATTAAAATTTTTTTAGCTCCATCTCTTCATTCCCAGGGGAAAGAGAAATTGGTAAAGTTAGGAGATAAATGTGCTTTAAAATAAAAACCCATTTTACTTCCAGTGAAAGTTCTAATTTCCCAGAGGTTTTAGCTTCTCACAGACTTAAGGATAGCCTTATTATGGATGAAGATTTTGAATGTTTGTCAATGTATGTCGGAGACTGGTTCCGACTTGAAGGGGGTTGGGCCTGAATCGGGAGAATCAGGATGGCGAGAAGTAACGACTCGGAGGCAGTTCTTCTGGGTCAGGTCTGGCCAAGACCGTTCCAAATTTTATTCAGACTCCTTCCACCTTATATACCATTTTCTATCACCCCTAGCAACATAACAAACATTCGCATACCATTTTTTATCACCCCTAGCAATATGACAAACATTCGCCGGGGGCTTACACGTCCCATAGTGCATAACGTTTTTTACAGAAACATACATCATGAGATTTGTATGCCCCAACAATCACGAATCCATAAGGCATAACGTGTTTACATCAAGATGATAAATGCAGAGCTTTTACAATAGTTTCACAAACTGCTCTCCATGATTTTAATGAATAATCTATACTTTATAAGTTTATTTTTATTTCTACCTAATATAAAATCTTGAATTTTCTATTGACCTTTTATGATTTAATAAAATATAATGCTATGTAATTCTTTAACATTTAACCCAAAACTAATTACTTTTAAGCTATAAAACCTTACAATGACTCATATGAGTCTTTTTAACCACATCTAGATTTAACAATTTTATTTTATCTAATGATTAAACTCTAACACTATGCTATCTTATAAACTTATACTTATCTTATTGATTTTTCTTTAAACTATCAGAGATGTATAACTATCATTAATGTGTGATTCTTATTGTTATAAAACTATAAACTTATTTTTATCCTATCTTCAAACTTAATAAAATTACAAATCTAATTATTTTTGAAATCTGTTTCCTTGTAAGCTAGTGCATAACCGTTTGTAAGAAATCCCATTGCCATAGTAACTTATTGAACAGCCTGGCTGGGGGCAGAAACCGTAACAGGGGAGTATTGGCATAGCTTGTTCCTTAACAATCAGCTTGGTTGGAGGCAAAAACAATAAAAAGAGTTTCGGTACAGAAAGTTTCAGTACATAGTCAAACAGAAAGTTTTAACGTATTGTTCAAGAATCTCAAGATTAGCCTTCAGAAACTTAAAGATAACTTTTAGGAAAAGAAAACTTAAAAGCTTAAACGAAACTTAAAGGGTTTTCTATAAGTAACTATTACTGTATAAGTCTTTCCAATCAAAATCATAACATTTTGTATACATTCTTATAATATAAATTAAAGATCTCGTTACTAGTCAACAAACTATATAATAACTGTGAGCATGCACAGGCAGGAAGACAAAAAGTTTATTAAACAGGATCCATGGGGCCTTTTGCCTTCAACATGGTCGCTGTGTACCGGAGCTTTTCTCTCAACCAGCATACTTCTTGTAATCAGATGCTCCATAGTTTGTTTCTTCAAGGTCTCAGCTCCCAACAAATGTAAAGTAATATTATGTAGAATTTCATGTCTGACTGATATTTCTACCAGGACAGCTACTTCTCTTTCCATCTTCTTGATAGCCACGTTGTACACCATATTAAAAGATCTTAAAGTAGTGTTGAACCTTTTTTTTTTTTTGAGTTGGAGTCTCACTCTGTCGCCCAGACTGGAGTGCAGTGGCCGCTCCCAGCCATCGCAGCCTCGACCTGCTGGGCTCCGGTGATCCTTCAGCCTCAGCCTTCCAAGTAGCTGAACTACAGGCGTGCACTACTACGCCCAGCTAATTTTTGATTTAATGTAGAGATGTGGTCTCGCCAAGTTGCCCAGGCAGGTCTCGAACCCGTGGGCTCAGGCAATCCACTCACCTCAGCCTTGGGGCGTGGGATTACAGGCTGAGCCACCGTGCCCGGCTAGTGTTAAACCTTTAAATTCACTGACTGATATATGTGTAACCTGTTTTTAAATATATTAGAAAGTCTTTTATCCCAAGATTTTAGTTTCTGCCTTCCCTAGTTAACAGTGGTTTGTTTAATATGGCTGTGCTTTTTTTTTCTTTCTTTTTGAGTTGGAGTCTAACTCCCTCGCCCAGACTGGAGTGCAGCGCTTCCAGCCACCGCAGCCTCCACCTGCTGTGCTCTGGCGATCCTTCTGCCTCAGCCTTCCAAGTAGCTGGAACTACAAGCACGCGCTACCTTGCCTGGCTAGTTTTTTAAAATTTATTGTAGAGACAAGGTCTCGCCAAGTTGCCCAGGCAGGTCTTGAACCCACGGGCTCAGGCAATCCACTTGCCTCAGCCTCCCAAAGCGCTGGGCTGTGCTTTTAACAGTAAGCTTCATCAAATCCTTTTTGGAAGTAAGTAAGCTATAAATGAATTATACATGTTAATAATAATAACTATTATAATAAGGCACAGTGGCATGTGACTGTAGTACCAGCTACTCGAGACTGAGATGGAAGGATCCCTTAAGCAAAGGAGTTGTGTGTCCAGCCTGGGCAACATGGCAAGAACCAGTCTCTTGGGGGGAAAAAAAGTCACTATTGTAATAGAATGACAGTACCATATTTTTGCCAAGTATTTATCCTTGAGTTATTACCTAAATAGATTTTTAAAAATTTTTTTTTTTTTAGTTGGAGTCACACTCTTGTCGCCCAGGCTGGAGTGCAGCGGCACCCTTACGGCCATCGCAGCCTCCACCTGCTGGACTTAGGCGGTCCTTAAACCTCAGCTTTCCAAGTAACTGAAATTGCAGACACACGCCACCACGTCTGGCTAGTTTTTGTAATTTATTATAGAGATGAGTCTAACCAAGTTGCCCAGGCTGGTCTCAAACCCATGGGCTCAGGCAATCCTCTCACCTCGGCCTCCCAAAGTGCTGGGATTACAGGCTAAGCCACCACACCCAACCTTTTAAAAAAATTTTATATATAGATCCTGCTTGTCTTGTTAGCATATATATTTTTACAAATCTTTTTATTAAGAAAACATCATATTATTATTATAACAAGTTCCAAATTCCAAATTGCATCCTAAACTCAGGGTAAGTAATTTTTACTATTTTCTTTTCTTTCTTTTTTTTTTTGAGTTGGAGTCTTACTCTGTCACCCAGACTGGAGTG